GAATCCCGTGTCGCGATCCTGACTGGATATTTAGTTATACCGATACTATACTTAGTACGGTTTTCAAACCTTCCCGAAGCTGAAGGTCATAAATAACTCTATAAATGCCGCCACTTTTCTATCCGTAAACTAACGCTCATGCCTTTACTTTGGTGTTCAAGCCACAGTGTAGATTTAATCTGAGGTTGTTAGAAGCTTATAAGAATTCAAATTTTGCGTTTATTCAGCAGTATTAATAGCTGCGTGATACAAAATTTCATGAATAAATATTACAAATGTTCAATTATTTGGCGGTTAGTTGAATTCAACTGTTTAGGGTATAACATAAGGCTGTTTGCGGCAATAAACGAACGACTGACGAATTCTAAACAAGACGAAACTCATATTATTCCAGATTCCTGTACTAGACAAAATACAAACATACTAAAAGTATTCAGAGAGTTATTGTTTGAGAAGTTTACACGTGAATATAATCCCATTTTATGTCGCTCCATTTCTGTTTAAACATCCTAATTAACAGAACTGTCAGAAACATCACCCAATAAACTTTTCAACTACTATTATTACTCATCGTTAACTATGGGTTAACTTCTCAAATACTTTCGTTTTACTAGACTACTCTTTTCATTTTGATATACTACTCATATTCACTAATCAGTAGGCTGTAATTTTTTAACAAAAGAATTAATCTATATTGAAGATTTCACAGTGAAATGACACCTGAAACACTAAAAACTAGACACTACACACATACACACACGTAAAAACACATAGACGTATACATTTGCAAGAAAAAATGGACAATTCAAATTATGCCTAATAACCAGTTGAATTTAGGCAGAGACATCATCAATTGAACTGAACAATGAAGAATCATTAACTTTAGTTTGATTTATTTATGACTACTACTACTACTAATAATAATAATATAATTTATAAGTAGTCTGTTCCGTCTGTCTGTATGAATGCACACACACACACAAAACAAAAACTGAAAATGAATGCGTTAATTTGTAACGAAATGTGACAAATTAAAAACTAACCGTCAGTAGTAAGTAGTATTAGTAGTAGTAGTAGTATTACTTTTATAGTAAGAGAAGATCCATGATGATTTATGTACTGCATTTTGTCAATGTTATTAACGATAATGTCTGCTATAATAATTGCATCGGTATTATAGGGTAATTGATTTATCCTTTTTTCTATACCGCTTCCTATTATTGTCTATCATATGTATATATATATATATATATATATATATATATATATATATATATATATATATATATTCAATGTGTTCAGTGCCGAGTGTTCAATGTGTTCAATTTGAATAGTTTGTTTGAGTAGAATTGTTAATCTTTAGTGAAGAAAAATGCTTATAAAAAGACAAATGAGATAATATGATAGATATATTAATGAATTTGTCTAAAAGTTTTTTTGTTAATAAAAACTGATTTGTTTTGACAATCAAAAAAAAGTATCATTTTCCTGAGGAAAAAATGTGACAAATTAGAGAAATTTATGTTTCTAGTGTGTAGATTGTTCAAAAATATCATTCAGTCAGTCAGTCAGCAATATTGTAGAACTTCGTACGTATATATAAATATATATATATATATATATATATATATATATATATATATATATATATATATATATATCAGTCCAAGATGCCATATCACATTAGTACACAGAGATGGGATTGTAATAGAAGTATTAGTGTAGTGAAGGAGAACACAGGTGAGGACAACCAAACTGTATTTATCAGAAAATTACAGAGTTAATCAGTAAAATAAGAAAACCATATTGTAAACGGTTAATTTGCAAATCTTCAGTCCAATTCATCAATCCATTGTCTGACATTTCACTCACTATTCATGCATTTCATACAAATTCCATATTGTGTTCCCACTCTTCCTTTCTCTTGATCTTCCCCCATCTTCTGCTGCCAGACATTACGTTTTCACTCGCGTCATATACTATTTATAAGTAGCGCGCACCACATTACCAGTAATGGAGAATATTCGACAGTGAAGATATGACTCAATTAGTATAATGCATTGCTTACCCGAAGGTCCCAGGATGTATGAGCAGTGCTGTAAAGACACCTTTGAATATTAGTAACCTACAAATATCTTTAATGGTCATTTTTCACACTCCTGTTTTAGAACAGAGCAATCTGCTAAGCAGTAGACTCGTACTTTGGTCAGTAGATGGGCTATCTCGCCTACGGCATGAGGGACTCAAGTTGGTAAAATCCAATCGAGAGTTCTGTATCCGTCCTAAGATTTCGTCGGACACCAGGCCATTAGCACTGATGAGACTCTTAAGACAAGTGAAGTGGTCGACCCGCTGAACTGTTTCAGTCCCTAGCACTAGCTCAGATGTCAATGGCAGATAATCGTGAAGCAATCTTTTACACTTCGACGGGAAGAATCGTATCTCGAACATGCTTGCATTGTTGCTTAAGCTGGTCATCGTCTTCACTGAATAGAACTATGTCGTCAGCATATTCTACCTCAACAAGTAAATCTTCTGAGAAAAGGTCAACATTCCTGAAAAGTCAGACGATTAATGTGTCGTCCGTAAAAGTATGTCTATGACAAAGCTGAATACGAATGGAGAAAGTGAACAACCCTGATGAATATCACTCGAAGAAATTAACTCAAATCACATTTCTTTGTATGCTCTGACTTGACCAGTAGTATTTGAGTAGAGAACCTGTATAAGGTTAATGAACTATTTCGATACTCTTTACACTGTCAAAGAACCTCCCAATCAACAGAAACAGACGCTAACTTAATGTTGAGAAATACTACTATTTTCGGATGTTTGAGCATGTGTCTTTGGTTCTAGAACCTGACAAAGTGTGGATATCCAGTCTACACATCCACGTTCAGGTTTGAAACCAGACTAGTTTTCTTGAGTCTGCTCTTCACGACCTCTACTTAGACGTCGAAGTATTATTTTTGACACTTTACCAGTTAGCATTCATTTTATTTCAGTAAAATATTTTGTATATATAAGAACACAGATTCCTACCTAGAATTGTGTATAATAATTATTTTTTGTTCAGTAACACGTCATGATCTGATATCATGTTTCAATGATATCACTCTCACTGTTAACAGACAGTCTGATTCATGACAATGAACAAACATAGTTGATGTATCTGTTTTCTGCAAGTGAATGTTAAGATTGTTCAATAGTTCAGTGGATAATATATAAAGAGATTGAAATGAAAGATGCTAGGTTCGAGTCCTGTAGTAAACATCAACGCTGGGATGCAGGTATATCCAGCTAATGAGTTCTGGATAGAATGAAAACTATGGGACTTTTCTGTAGTGTGCATCCAAGACGTCCGCATGTGGTAAATGGACTTATGTCAGCTCGAAATTGAAGTTCCTAGGTTCCATTCACGTGAGTGGGGATCGTGGAGGGGCACTGCTGAAGAGTACCATACTTAGATAAAATATCCATCTAATGTTTCCAGGTTTCTAATGGTTATGTAACACTGAATTATTCATGATTTGAATGGATATACTTTTGTTACTGATTCGATTCGTTGTTTACCTACTACTATTCAGTATATGTGTGCTTATTGTCCTTTTTGTGATTGACTACTGTTTTCTGGGTTCAGACGAATCGTATTTACTTACATTTTACAAAATAGATGATAACTGTTGTCTAAATACCTAGTTTTGAGTGAAGTCCTACTAAGACCCTGTGAACGATAATATAGGGACTTATTTAAGAAATTCATCTGAATAGTTACATTTCACACTATATTACTGATTGATAAACGTTTGAATCTCATAAGAAGCATTATTTACTTCAACTTTTTTACAGGTACACTTTTCTGATAAACTTTAACTAACGCGAAATCTACACTGACATTTTTTCTTGATTACATTACATCTTAGATTTGTAACTGGTTTTAGTTAACTGTCAACTTTTCTCATGATTTCAAAATGTTTACACTTCAGAATGAAGTAACTTTTCTAAAATGATTGACGAATTACTACACAATGTTTTCCTGTCTAATTCTCTTTCAATACCGATTATCTTTTAACTCACTGAAATCATGAATGAATCATTGTTAGATCGCTATTAGGATGTTGGATGCATTGGATGGCCGTTTCGTCCCATTATAGGACTCATCAGCAATGCACATCAACGATCTCTTCTCCCAGGGATCGTGCGCGATTGCTTAGACTATAAACCATTGAGTTGGCTTTCTACGGTGTCCTAGGTTTGATCACCGTGTGTGGGGGGGGGGGGTCGTGGATGCATGCTGCTGACAAGTTCCATACTAGGACGAAACTACCTTCCAATGCTTCCAGATTTCCAATGGTAATCTAACAAGGATTGATTCATGATTTCAATGAAACTCAACAATCTTCACAATCCTATTGTTAGAATAATCACCCAATATTCTAAGAGAATTATTGGTCTATTCCTATTGGTTCATTCCTACTGGTCAATTTTATGGTCGTCCTTGATATCAATGTCATGTGCTCCAGTGTTGTTTCTTATTGGTTGTCCTGACACTCAATGTCACTTCAAACGTTGTTCCCTGTTGGTCTTCTTAACTGTCAATGTCACAGACTTCAAATGCTGTTTCCTATTCGACCAAAATGTATAAATACGCATTATCTGTAACGTTTTATGACCAGGACCAGGACCCTTATCCCTAGTCTGTGGTCCTGATCCTCTTCTGGACTCGGACCTCTTACTTTCTGGATGCGTGTAAAATACAGGTTCTACTACATATCAAGTCTTCTTATTTTTAATCAATAATCGGGCTTGAGTAGCATGTCGTCTCCCCGGACCCTCGATCCTCGCTCTCAGGTTTCCGACCCAGGTAAACTCGTAATAGTTCAAGTATATCAAGTTGACGTGTTTACGTGCATGCGTAACACCTATAATAAATATATACTTCTTTCGAATTCATTTCTATTTCAAAACTTTTTTCCGTTTTTTTTCTCTTCTGATTCAAGATGTTATATTTGTACAATTTAACTGTACACGATTCAGCAGTCTATCAATGTCTTATTCAAAACAAACACGGTACAAATATCATGAATGCTTATATACATGTATGGAATCAACCGCCAGCATTTATTCATGTGATCAGTGGAATACAATTTGTTATTGAAGGTCATGACATTGTTGTACCATGTGAAACATTTGGTGCACCGGAAGCTGAAATCACTTGGTTTATTAATGGGAAACAATTAGATACGCTTGGTGTTAATATGAAAGGAGGTGATTATATGATAGAAACGAATGGAAATTTACATATTTTTGTAAGTTTGTCTGTCAATTTGGTTTTTTGACACATTGTTGTAAGACTATTCTTCGAAAGAAATCTGGAAGCGATGAGCAGCCGTTTTGTCCTGGTATAAGACCGACATATCAGCACTGGGCATCCATGACATCCGCAGGCGGGAATCGAACCCACGACACCGTTGGGTTCTAACTCGGTGGTCTATTGTGTTAGGATATTCACCAAATATCCTAAGAAGAATCATTGGCGGTGACGATGTTAGATCCTCAGAACTCGATTCATAAATGCCTTATACTGGATATCACGTTTGTGAGCATGGGCTGATCAGTTGACCTTGAGATTTCATTTCCCACCAAGAAAATCTATGGCTGTGATTGGCTGCTGTGTATTTTAGTGTGCTGTTTTCTTAACTGTCCCAAGGACGTTTCTATGATATAAATAAATAAACGAGAGTTATGTGCTTGATTGTATTGTGTGATTGCTGGGTGTTTGTAGAATGTACATTCTACGCTTACCAAGTTTTCTGTTATGCAATTTTGGGATCAAGGTAGCCTACCTGGACACTGGTAATTGTCTCGTTTGCGTTATTCGACTAAGATGAACTCTTAATGGCTTCAACCGTACCAAGTGACGAACATAACAATTAGTAGATACCTATTGGTCAATCTGATGGTCGTTCTAGCTATCAAAGTCACGTACTTCAATGTTGTTCTGACTATCAATGTCACTTTAAATGTTCTTTCCTATTGGTCGCCTTGACTGTCAATATCACAGACTTCGAAGCTGATTCCTATTCGACCTAAATGTATAAATACGTATTATCTGTAACGTTTTATGACCCGGACCCGGATCTTTAGTCCATGATCCTGATTCTCTTCTGGAATTGGACCTCGTACTTTCTGAATGTTTGTAGAATACGCGTTCTACTTCATATCAAGTCTTCTTCTTTTATTCATTATAGGTTTGGGACACTCGGATTAGAGTAGACTATCGTGTCGTCAGATCCTCAATCCTCGCTCTCGTTTTCCGACTACGGTAAACTCGTAATTATTGAAGTATATCAAATTACGTGTTTACTTTCATGCGTAACATATTGGCTAAGAGATTGCTTACGAAACCGGCATACGGGGGTCGTGGATGCGCACTGTTGAACCAAACTGAGAAATTTTAGCCTCATGTATGAACGCTTAACATGTAGACCCCTTAGGCGGCATCCGACGGTGTTAATATATATTTATATAATTACTTAAACACCCAATTTTTGGTATAAAAGGATACCAATTTGTGAGTGGGCAAGAATGTTACTTGCATGCCCATATCAACGTAGATGATGTTATTTAGGAGGCTATTCTCTTAGCCTTCGATCAACAAGTTTAAACCACAAAGCAGCAGGGAAAGAACTCAGTCGCATGATGGCCGATAACCAACAGTAAGTTCATAAGCCATTCATTCCATCATGATCCTGGAGTCGATATGCTGCTTCATTGGTTTGAAAGTAAAGTTTTCATACTCCTATAAGGTGAATCCTTCATACTTACCAACCTGTATCAAATCCTAGTCGAACATTTCATCTAATCTACACCTAAACCGGATAACATCTCACATTTCAATCTGTTCTAAATGAATTGCACACTCTTAGACACAATGTTAATAAAGCTATGCAATAGTCTTCCACAAAACAACAAACTGAAAAAGAGTTTCGGATTATTGTATTATGGAGATCGTTGTTTTAACACACTGAAATCATGAATGCATTATTGTAAGACCAGTAGAGTTCAACCCTGTTGGGTGTAGGCAGTTACCTACTGAAGACAGCTGGTGAGGCTGAGCAAAATCCTTAGAGTGATCACAGTTAGACATTAACACCGTTGGATACCGTCGGCTCACTAGTCCAGTGGTTAAGCGTTCGCGCACAAGACCGAAGGTACGGTTTTGGGAGTCTTGAATGCATACTACTAATGAGCCCTACACTCCGGTTGAAACAGCTGTCCAGTGCTTTCAGGGTTCGAATGATAGTCTAACAATGTTCGATTCAGAATTTTAATGAAAACCTAACACTCACTAATGATGTTATTTTCTCAATAAACATGTTTCTCTCTCTCTAATTAAAAAAATCTAGCATGCTAAATTATCACACAGTGGTAATTATTTATGTAAAGCATCAAATCTATTCGGTACATCACAATCGACTGGAAAATTATTAGTGCGAAAACAAACACGTATCTTATCTGGTCCATTAATTGAACAAAATCACAATCATAACAATACTACTGATAATGATAATAGTAATAAAAAAATTAATGTGAAATATCTTACAGAAGGATCAAAAATTCATTTTACGTGTAAAGTTGAAACTGATCCAATACATAGAAATCAATTGAGAAT